CTCTCCCATCAACCAAATGCAAGCACATACACTTGGGTTTTCTTAGGGTTTTGAAAAAAGTTGAGCACTGAACAGTATTTTTTTGTTTTTTTGGTTCAGATTTAGATCAAAAGAAGAGAGATTTAGCCCTGCTTCACATTTCATTTTAAAAGTGTTTTTAAAAAGAATTTAATTTTTTTTTATATATATATATATATTAAATTAATATATTTTTTATGTTTTCAAATTAGTTTAGATAGCGTTTGGTATTGCATTTGAAAAATATTTTTTAAAAAATTTTAATTTTTTTCTTTGAATTAGTATATTTTTTATGTTTTCAAATTATTTTAATGTGCTAATCTTAAAAATAATTTTTAAAAAATAAAAAACATTATTGATATGCTTTTCTGAGTGAAAAGCATTTTGAAAAGTAACCGCAATCACACTCCTAAACACGTTTTAATGTGTTAGTGTTAAAAATACTTTTTAAAAATTAAAAAAATATTATTTTTATATGTTTAAAATAAAAACACTTTAAAAAACAACTATAATTATTTTTTTAACCAATAAAAAAGAGTGAAAGATGTCAATTCTCATGCATGATTTTATTTTTTTTATTTTTTTGAAATTTTTTTGTTTGATAATGTAAAATGTAATTTTTAATGGTTTTTTTTTTTTTTGGTAATCATTCCTTATTTTATTTTGTTTTGTTTTGTTTTACTTGACGCGAGGAGAACATGGAAACGAGCTTGTTGCTTGATCCCCTGATTTATGGCTTGGATTGTTGTCAGGTTCCGGGCTTCGAGGGTGGCTAATTATGGCACCTTAATATTTAATTGGCCATCCCACCATCCTTTTCTTTATCCTGTAAACATTTTCCTCCTTGAACGGAATACTATCTTAGAAGGTTTTATCAATCTTTCTTTTTGTCTCATTCATGTACAATTAAGTCAATCTTCGCACCAAAGAAAAGAAAAGAAAAGGAACTTTAACCACTCTGACTTTGCAAATTATGGCACCTTAATATTTAATTGGCCATCCCACCATCCTTTTCTTTATCCTGTAAACATTTTCCTCCTTGAACGGAATACTATCTTAGAAGGTTTTATCAATCTTTCTTTTTGTCTCATTCATGTACAATTAAGTCAATCTTCGCACCAAAGAAAAGAAAAGACAAGTTCCTACTTTGCTTCTGACTTTGCAACTGCTTAAAGGGCTGCAGGTTGAGTCTTCGAGATAGCTCAAGGGACGACTCTGCAACTGCTTAATTAGGTTTACAGGCCAAGCTCTGAAGATCAAGCGATAATTTTATTTTATTTTATTTCTTATGAAGTTTGAGAGGGATAAAAAAGCTTCTTGTCTTTCTCGGAACCAAAGGAGTAGGATGGGGAGAGCGTTTGCAACCTAAGCGATGGAAGCTATATAAACAATTGTTTCATGCAAATATACGTTATAAATTTTGTTTTTATTTCTGAAAGCTAATCATTTTTCTTGCAACATTACCTGGCCCAGTACTTTACGGATCATGATTGATAGCAAGAGGTGCTTGGTTTTCGTTGACGTGCTGAGCAAGAGATGGCTGGGGCATGAGCCTCCTTGACTTGGCATTTAAACTTGTCTTTCATTTCCTTTTCTTTTTCTTTTTTAATAGGGAAATTACCTTTTGAAGCTGTTTTGAGCATGCATGCGGCAGATTTCTTTCCACTCGTAACAGTGCCTCTTGAAGTCATACACAAATCTCCTTCTTTAAGGAATGGTCACTTCAAAATGTTAATGATTCGTTCTCGATCAACCAACGATGGCTGAGCATGAAGAGCATCTATCCCATGGCCGTCTCTGCAACTGTTCTGTGAAAGTTCGAGAATCTTTCAAATACATTGAAGCTCGAATCTGTCAGAAAATATTAGCGTTGAAGGGATGCTGACTTGTACAGGGATAAAAGAGGTGGAGTTTTCATTCGACGGAGGTGTTCCGTCCTTGTCACGATGGCTTTATTCTAGTGTTTTTTTATGGAGAGTTCTTATTTGCTGTGGGCTGTGTTAGAAGTTGACTGGCTGACAGAGTGACAGGTGTTGATATTTCTGAGAAATATTCGTCAGAATCTTTCTAGATGGTTTTTTTTAAAGGTGGGCCAGGGCTGGCATGTTGAGTTAGGAGAGGATGGGTCCGGCCACTCGGGCTATGATAAGATAAAGAATACGATTACCCTCTTTTCCTCTTTTTTCTCATCTCTTTTGCCCGTTTTCAACCCCCCTCTCTCTAGTATCATCAAGATTACGCCTATCACCTTGCAATACTTACATGTCTATTAAACTTGTAGGATGTTCAATAGATCGTGAGATTAATCGTGATACACGCAAACTAACCTAGACATCCTATATAAATCAAAAAAAAAAATGCAACCTATGAAAATGCGTTAAATAAAACCTAAAAAAAAAACTCATTTTTGGGTGCAAAATAGTTTAAATTATGAAGAATATTTATGGAAAAAATAAAATGACCGTGCTATAATTTTAATCTTATTTTCTATAGTTGACTAGGATAAAAAAAATTTATAAGACACTCTAAAAATCTTGAGAAAAACGTCTGCAATTTCATTGTAAAATTATTATTTATTATTATTTTCAAGATAAACTAAGTAACTAATTATTGGGGGTAATATTTTCTTTTCATAAGGATCCATTAATATTGATATAGCATACATGAATTGCATTTTTTATGAATAGCGAATTACTACAATACCTTTGATCTCAAATTTTTTAATTTGATTCTTAGGGGTTTTTTGTATTTTTAATTTTTTAAACACGATAAAATGATATAAATACCTATAGAAGCTGGCTTTTCTTTGACTTGTGTTCAGGGGCATTTTGGTATTTTTTTATTTTCAGGATAGTTTAGGGGTAATTTTGTAATTTTATAAATATAAATAATATTAAAAACAAGTGGTTTACTTGTGGGTATCTAGGCAGCCTCCGCATCCTTTGAGTGGTGTTTGGATGGGGGGCTTTTGTTGACCAAACATGGTACATTAGAATTGTTTTAGTGACTTCTCCGTGCATGTGGGCTAATAGATATCTGATATGGTGTTAATAATTTATTTTTATTTTTATTTTAATTTTCATGTATGTTTTTTTATTGTTTTTCTTAATTTTCATGTATGTTTTTTAAAAATCTCAAAATAATCTTTTAATTTTTTATTTATTTAAATTTGGTTTGTATTATTTTTATCATTGTTTTTTTTATTTTGAATAATTTATAAAATTTGAATTTTTTTTAATTTCACCTCTCTTTATTTTTTTTATTTTTCAAATTTTGTCCCTAATATTTTTTATTGTTATTTTTTATCCAAAATAAATTTTTTAAATAGATTTTTTCTATAATTCTATTCATCTTAAGTTTTTTTCTCCTACCATGTTTAATCTCATTCTTTTAATTATTATTTTTTAACCTGGATAATTTTTTTAAATTGATTTTTTTTAATTTCATCATTTAATATTAAATTAATTAAAAATTAAATTTTTTAATTGATATAGTTCTAGAATTTTACAAATTAAAAATTTTATATATTAACCAATATTTAAGATGTTTGCTTGTTTTTATCTCCCCTTTATTTAAAGCTTTTTTGTCTTTTAGTCTTGTCACCGAGCATTTATTTAATAGGAGAACGAGCTCCTTTGAATTTTTATTTGCTTTTTCTAATTTTTTTTGTTGATTTAAAAAATAACTCAAGTTGTCTTGTTTTTTTTTATTTGACACTAATTTTTAAATTTAGATTTTTTTTAAAGATATATTTTTCAATTATATTAAATTAACTAATTAAATATAAGCATGAGATAATCATATCATGATATTTTAAATGATAAAATAAAAAAAAATTATTGGAGAGACATTGTTTTACTGGCATGAATAATTATTTAATTAAATGAAAAATTATAAAAAAACAAAATTATTAAACATGGCTAAATATACATTTTATGTTGCAAGATCAAATATCTTAATTTATATTTATTTTTTAATTTTTTTAATATAGTCATTAAATGTATTTATTTACATGGATAATTTTTAATTTATTTAATTAAATAAATGCTTGATTTTTTTCTGACAAGAAGTACTGTTCAAATAACTAGTTGATATTAAAGTTTTTATATATATATATATATAATTAAAACAGCAATACACTCAACTTAACAAGATCAATTCCGAAACGCCAGGGAAATAAAGACATTGAATTCAGAGAGCAGAGAAGAAGGGATACATCCTTAAAACAATTTGGAAAACGAGAAACAGATAAATTGAACTTTTAAAAGAGTTCGAAAAAACAAGGATAAATATCTCTCAACTGTTTTTTTTTTTTTAAATGTGAAGAAACGGACGATAAATATTTTGAATAGTTGAAGAGAGTTACGTCATTAAGCTAGTCGAACAGGGAAGGAGAGAAAGCACGAGGAAAAACTTCGTGAATTTTTAGAAGGGAGGAAGAGAAATGGAAACATTTCAAACCAGAATGAAATGATAGAAGAAGAAGAAGAAGAAGAATCCATATTTACCATGCCCAGGTAATATATATTAGAAATGAAATTAAAAAATTGAGATTCAAAGTTTTTTCTATAAAAAAACTAAAAAAGTTTTCTCATTTTAGAAATGAAATTAAAAAAAATCACTAGCTCTGGTTCGTTCTTTTGATTTTCTGGTATACTTTATTTGAACTTTTTTGTTTGTTTCGGGTAAACTCTGCTCCGTTTTTTAATCTTTTCAACGTTTTCTTCTTCCAATCTCATCATTTTTTTTTTTTTTAATTTTCTTAGAATGTCTAGGAGACTTAAACCATGAAGTCTTGAAAAATCAATATATTATTAATTTAATTTTTTTAAAAGCATTTTATTTATTTAAAATGGATGCTTATAATATATTTTAGTTTGGTTTATATATCAATTAAAATTGTTAACTCGAATTAATTTATATATCAATTAAAATTGTTAACTCGAATTATTTTTTTTTTCTTCCTAACCGCAACGGGATATAATCTAAACTCACCTGATTACCCAAAAGAGGTGGTACCAGTAGGATTATTCGGTCATGGTGCGTAATGAATAATTTTATTTTATTTTTTATCACAGAATTTGGAGAATATCGAATGATATCATGGATGCGAGGAGTATGATAGAAGCAAGGAGAGGGTGCCTTGATCTGAATTACAGAGAAAGGAAAGCGGAAGGAAGGTCATGGTGGCATACACGTCATTGGTGAACGGCTCACGCTTTTGTACTGCTCGTGCCTCCAACACACACCAAGCACTAGCAAGCGGGCACCAAGGAACGGACTCTTTCTTCTCTTTTCTTCTTCCTCCGCAGTCCTCAATAACAACACGTCGTCCTCTTTTCCCCTTTCCTTTTGTATTAGAATTTTTTAAGGTAATTCCTTTCTTCTTTCTTATTATCTCTTTCAAGAACTAATTGAATTTCTTGCATCTCCATCTGCTTTTAATCAATCAAGATATTATTACAGCAATATTCTTTTTTAGTATTTTTAGTTTACCAACCTCAGAAATAAACCACTTACAAGTCTTCATCTTCATCTTATTATCATGTGATATGATATGGTGGTTACTTCTTTGTTTTTCTCACTAAAACACCAGGACAAGAAGAAGGCAAAGGGGAAATAACGGTTGTTTGCTTTGCTTTGATTTACCAGATGGGCAACTGCTTGGATTCTTCTTCTGCTAAAGTAGATTCCACCCAGAGCTCACATAATCCTGGTAACAACACCTTTGCATTTTGTTTTTCTAGCCTTACTGTCTTTGCATCTTCTAGCTTTATTGGATTTGGCCCCTTTTTTTTTCCAGCTCTGATTCATTCAGTTGTCACCCGCAACTGCTCTTGGCTTACCGTTTGTGAAGCAAAAAGAAAAGAACCCTTTTAAGCTTTCTGTGTGATATATAACTTTTGTCTATCAATTCTGTTGTACTTGATTAGTATTCGAAGTGAACCCTAATGTTATTTGCTTTTTTTTTTTCATTTTTGGGTTCTTCTTCTACTTTAGGATAATTCGATGCGGATGGTTCTCGTCATTTTAATGTGTGTGGTCTTTCTTTTAAGAAGCAACTTTTTGTCCTATACCTGTGATTTGGAACATTTGCATATGATTTTGGTTGGCTGACTAGAGTACAATCTCTGTGAAGAACGGCGATGAATGAATTTAAGTGACTCTGTCCAACTTGATAACTGTGCGTGTTTACTTCGTGCTATTACAACAGCGAAGGCAGGATCCACGTAGAATGAGATATGGCTTTGCACTTAAATTGTGCTAAGTAGCATTCCCTTTTTTCCCCTTCTTTTTCCTCGTAGTTATTTTGAAGCTCATTTTAATTGCATACAATTCACCTTCTGAACGACAGAGTCAAAAGGGATATATGTGCTGTTAATATACGTGAAATATTTTATTTTATTTTCGAACTGTTTTGTACAGTTTAAAGATTTATAATGTCATCACTGGAAAGCATACTGTACTGTCCAAGGATTTCAATTAGAAGCTTAAAGAACTTGTTTTATTAGCCTTGACAGCCAGTGTAGTTTTGATGGGTGCAATGCTGGAGATTGATAAACATATTGTATAGGTATATAACATATATATACTACACCAGTAAAATCTTGATTTGTTTATCTCTTGCTACCACCAGGAGCCTCAAGAATTTCCAGCAGAACCAGCCATTCTTCAGTTCCTTCTAGTCTGACCATCCCATCATACAGTGGAAGGAGCGGTGAATGTCTTCCTACACCAAGGAGTGAAGGTGAAATATTGTCATCGCCAAATTTAAAAGCTTTCTCATTAAATGAGCTAAAAAATGCTACCAGAAACTTCCGTCCCGACAGTCTTCTGGGTGAAGGTGGCTTTGGCTATGTTTTCAAAGGATGGATTGATGAACACGCTCTTACTGCTGCAAGGCCTGGATCGGGAATGGTTGTTGCTGTCAAGAAGCTTAAAACTGAAGGTTTCCAAGGCCACAAGGAGTGGTTGGTAGGTTTTTTCTCTTATTAAATTTAGTAGTTTTTCAAACTGAAGTGTCCTTTCCTTACATACTAATAGCTGGCTGTCATCAGACAGAAGTTAATTATCTTGGCCAACTTCATCATCGAAATCTGGTTAAATTGATTGGATACTGCTTGGAAGGTGAGAGCCGGCTTCTGGTCTATGAGTTCATGCCTAAAGGGAGCTTAGAGAATCATCTGTTCAGAAGTAAGTAATCCAATGCAAAGAATTAATTTGGAAGCCTCGTGTGCTATAACTTGTCCTCCTATATGCTTGTAATGCTTGTACTTGAAAACTTGACCCCTATGCTTTGTGGTTGCTGAGAAATAGAAATTAACAACCTTTCCCCCTCTTTTGTTTTAGTTCATGGAATAGAAATAAATGAATCTGTTTATCTTGTGCGGTGAATTATTTTGTTTGCTTCCATGGGGAATAAAATGACAAAAATTTAGGACCACAATTTTTTGTTTCCGCTGTAAGATATACAGCCAGATATGAGGCTAGTTATGTCCTTTCTTCTCTTATCTATCTCAGACTGATCCTTTTGGTTAATACCAGCCACATTGAATTGGAGACACTGTCTACTAAATGAAATCAGGTTTCTCCATTCACGCTATAGTTCTTCAGTTGTCAATGAATCATAGGCTATACAATCAATAACCGTTAGGCATAATTTACCAGCCACTCACCATTACGGATATGTTTCCATGTTAGCAACAAGGATGAGTCAGGGACTGTGATTCGCCAAAGTTTCTTAGGACATTCCTCATTTGAATGGATATCATACACCCCCAATTTTTCCCTGGGGATCAAGGACGAGTTGGCTGCCCATATGAATATCTGAGGTACGGGGATCTGAAACTTCTATGTGATATGGGTTCACAGTCTATATCTTTAAACAGGCGCAATCACTAAAACCTTGATTCAGACTTGGGTTTTTGCTATAGTTATTTTATGATAATAGGTGCCAAAGTGTCATATGTTGTCTTTTTTTGAAAGACTTCTTTAGCCACCTTAATGGAAGAAAGTTGTTTCATTTGCATTTTAATTTCACATCTATTTCTGTTTCCCAAGATTTTGATGCAAGCTGTGATGCATCTTTACTTCTTTCCCAAGGTTTTGATTCTTGCTATAACGCTAGACAATTTTGCATTTTTTTTTATATATCTCTTATGAGATTTTACCATGACTTTCCCTGTCCTGTTGTCATAAATAAGCCAACAAGCAACAATATCTGGAAATTATGGAAGTCCTTGGAAGTCCTTGTATGAAAACTTGGTAACCTTCAATTCTGTATATTGTTTTATAGGAGGACTGCAGCCACTTTCATGGGCGATAAGAATCAAAGTGGCCATAGGTGCTGCCAGAGGACTCTCTTTTCTTCATGATGCAAAATCACAAGTCATATACCGTGACTTCAAGGCATCTAATATTCTACTAGATTCGGTATGCTTAATAAGGGCATGAATTAGTACTTTCAGTTCTTTAGAAAAAAGAATATAATTTCTCCTTGTCACTAGCCTGTACCAGTAATGTCATCCCATGGGATTTAATAAATTCCCATTGCTAACGATGCATTGGTTTGCAGGAATTTAATGCAAAACTTTCTGATTTTGGTTTGGCCAAGGCAGGCCCTACTGGTGATAGGACTCATGTGTCCACTCAAGTTATGGGTACTCATGGGTATGCAGCACCTGAATACGTTGCTACAGGTCTGTAAAATGCCTGTCCTAATTAAGGGCTATTGCTGTTTCCTTTCACTTTTGAAACCAGTAATGATTTATGTTAATCTCTTGCCATTGTGCTTCTGAACTAGGTTAGTATTTGTGATAAAACAGTAAGGCGTCTGATTGTTTTGCTATTTATGCAAGACCATTTTAGCCATTCTTATCTCTGATGACCATGCTGATGCTTCTCCCCCCTTCTAGGTCAGGCCTCTTCTGTAATGACCGGGTTTCTTTCTATTGTCCAAGTGGGGAAAGCTTGATGGTTAGAGAAAATGGTTGGGCAGTTGACATTAAGTAAAAATGCCATGTCACTATCCCTGGAGAAGAAGCCTGGCTATTACCTGAAAAGATCCAAGCTTTAAAGGGACTAAGCTCTCTTTCTTTGTATATTTGCATGTTTGAGTGGGGTCAAATCTTTGAAACAGCAACTATATGCAAAAAATGATGAATGACTCCCTTTGGTGGGACTATAACTGGTTTACAGGCATATCATTAGCATCGGTTATGAGAACTCTTTACAGTAAAGCAAAGCTTCATTTAAACATAGTTGTTGAAAAAGGCTGGATTTCATGATCTAACATGAGAGTATCTATGCTCAACATCTTTTGTGTTCACTTGGAACTGATCTTGTACATGCATGTTTTTAAATATTTCTTGCTCACGGAATTCCTATGTCATGTTTGTGTGTAAATTTGGCTTCCATTTCTGGACAGGTCGGTTGACAGCCAAAAGTGATGTATACAGCTTCGGGGTTGTATTGCTGGAATTACTGTCTGGGCGACGTGCTGTTGATAAATCTAAGGTCGATGTGGAGCAGAATCTGGTAGACTGGGTGAAACCGTATCTGGGTGACAAGAGGAAATTATTCCGAATTATGGACACCAAATTGGGGGGACAGTATCCTCAGAAAGGAGCCTTCATGGCTGCTAACCTGGCTTTACAGTGCCTAAGCACTGAAGCTAAAGTCAGGCCTCGAATGTCAGAAGTATTAGCAACACTGGAGCAAATTGAATCCCCAAATGGTGCAGCAAAAAACATCCAATTAGAGCATCAAACAGTTCAGACACCTGTCCGACAGTCCCCAGTGAGACACCATCGTTCTCCTGTGATTCAAACGGCCAGTGCCTTCCCGCTGCCATCCCACCACCAATCTCCACAATTACGATAAGCAGATAGTTATTTGTAAATTCTTCTTTTATTTGCTCTTGTATTTTGTTCTTGTAAAATCCGATGCGGGTGTGTGCACTTTTGGATTAGAAACACAGATGTTATCACTTTTTGTACCGAAAGAGGGTCGTAGAAGGTTTTCCAGCTTGGCTTAAACCTGGCTTCATCTTGTTGTAGTAGCATAGATGGACGTTTCTCACCACTGTAATCCATGTCCTATTCAACTGTAATTACTTAGTTATTGGCTATGTAAGCTCCTTGATTGATGCAATCAGATTTTAAGATTTGTTAGCATCATCATCATACGTGTTGATCAGCAGAAGATAAGAGTGGAATGTACACCTGAGTTGAAATCGTTACGAGACCTGAAATTAGTGAAGCTCGAGAAATCATCAGTCAATGCAAGCATTCTTCTCAGGGGAGTTTAGTTTTATATTGCAAAATACAAATAAATCGAACAAATCTTCCCCTCTGCTGATCCCACTCACTGTACAACCTTTTTATTTACCCATTTCTCTGTATTTAAATAAAATTCTCTTCTATTGCAAATTACAAATAAAATATATCCTTCTAACTTCTATTGCAAATTACAAATAAAATATATACTTCTAAAGCAGTGGTGGAAGGGGCTTGTCTCTTTTCACTGCACCTGGGTTCGAGCCCTGGCGTGCACGCCTGTCACCCCGCGGTATCTTACATGCCTACCGAGTTTGCAGAATATTCAGTGAAATATAAGCACCAATTATATTACCATCAGGAAATGAATTTACTCTTTATCTCATCGCAAAATACAAAATACTACTGTACCCTAGAATATTGTTTTTGTTTTTAGTTTTTTTAATTTTGTATTTAATATTAAATTTATTAAAAATTAAATTTTATAATTTATCCAATTTGTTTTTTTAGGCTTGTTCTAGTCTCGTAATCCAGATTGTGAATTTAATATGTTAATTCGAATTGATTAAGGTTATTATTTATTTATTTATTTTATTATTTAATATTGGGTTGATTGAGAATTGAGTTTTATAATTTATTTTAATTTGTTTTTACAAGGTTATCCTGGTTACATAACCTAGATCATTAAGTTTGATAGATTAATTCTGATTGATTTAAGTTGTTTTTTAAGTTGTTTTTTACTCTATTTTGTTAATTTTATTTTTTACTATTAGATTGATTCGTAATTATATTTTATAATTTATTTTAATTTATTTTCTACAGGATTATCAACCTTTTATTATTCAAGTCATGAATTTGCAAGTTAATTAGAGTTAATTTAATATGTTGTTATTTTAATATTAAAAAAATATGTTTTTAATTTTTTTTTAGAATCAAATTATATTTTTACATGTTTTTTATATTATTTTTAGATTTACGGAGTTAATAGAGTAATATTGAAGCAATATTAAGAACTTGATATTAAATGCTTTTCTAATTATAACTTGTTAGCAGCGTTTAAATATATTTTTTATATTAAAAAAATCTGATCCGATAATGGATCGTGTGCAAATCATCTAATAACTAGCTACCTGACATGTCTAATAAATAGGGCAAAGGTGCTCAGATAAAAATTTGCCGTTACAAACCTTCCGATGAAAAATGATTAATTGATGCAAAATAACACACTTAACATAATTTTATGTTTAACTTCTTAAAAACAACTCGGGGAGAGAAGGGGGAAAAAAAATGAAAAAGGAAACAGGGTTACAGCTTCCAGCAGCATGACAAAGTCAAATTTAAAATCAGCGGGGAAACTGATGGAAAGTTTGCAGTGCACCATACTTCGATGCGACTCCATGTTTTATAACTCGACACTCGTCCTCCTCCTAATCCTTGCTGCATAAACCCGACGCTGGATCCTAATCGTTGGTAGTTAGACCGACATCCCGGAAATCCCCTTTCACCCGCCCAAATTTGATCCTCTCCCTCTCTAATCTCAGATCTAATAAATAATCTGAGTTATTCTAAAATTAAATGCGTAATTGTTGGTAGAAGAAGATGGAGTCGGCACCGATTCGGGTACCGTACCGGAAACTTAAGAAGGAGATAGAGGTAGAGATGGTGAGCTTGGAAGTGGAGTCGTCTCCTTCTCCTTCTCCTCCTCCCCCTCCTCCTCGAATCCAGTCTCCTCTTGATCCTAATTCTAATGGAGATTTCAGATCTCAAACCACCAAACATCAAATAAGCTTCACCACTCTTGTTCTCAGCTGTACGGTGGCCGCTGGCGTTCAATTCGGCTGGGCCTTGCAGCTCTCTCTCCTCACTCCCTATATTCAGGCAACTCCATCATCTCGTCTTGCAGCTACTGCATTTCTCTATCTATACTAACTAGTACTTGGGGGGATTTTTGTTGCAGACACTTGGGATAGGACATGCTTTTTCATCCTTCATTTGGCTCTGCGGTCCTATTACAGGCCTCGTGGTAGGTCATGGTGCCTAATCATCTTTTTGTTTGATTGACATATCTGAATCAGCTGATGAAACCGGAATCCAGTTTAGTTTTATTCATCTACTTCTCCTCTTATTTTACCATGTAACTTTCCGCATCATGCATGAAAGGTGTTTGCATTTGGAATATGCCTTTGGATGAATTTGAGTTGGTCAGACGACGGAACTTCTTGGGTAGATTTTACTTGCTCATTAATCAATCAATCAATTGATCAATTATTAGAGCTGACTTGATTCCAATAGTTTTCGTGGCATGTCAAGAGAAAATATCATACTTATACTGTGTTCACTGATGATGTTATGTGGTTATAAATTATGCTCGCTACAAGTAGTTAATTGTTTCTTCAATTTCATAAACATTCAATTTAGGCTTGCATCAGTTATTGGGGTTTTGCCTCTCAGGTTCAACCTTGCGTTGGTATTTGGAGTGATAAATGCTCTTCAAAATATGGAAGAAGACGCCCATTTATTCTTGCAGGAGCACTAATGATCTCTCTTGCTGTAAGTGCTATTGAATCTCATTTTTATCTTAGTTACTAATTTTGCTGATTGCTATTATAACTTCACGATCAAAACTAAATCTTGTAAATCTAGGTGATAATAATCGGATTTTCCGCAGACATTGGATATGTGTTAGGGGATACAGAGGAGCATTGCAGGTTTCTGCTGCCTTCACTTTAGTTATATTTTATTTCATGAATATTGTTTTAAGACTTATCTACTTATCTATGAAACTGAAGTAAATTCAAGGGCACTCGAATGAGGGCGGCTTTTGTCTTTGTTATTGGCTTCTGGATGCTGGATCTTGCTAACAATACGGTGCAGGTATGACATATTGTCATGTCTGTTTTGAGCTTCCTTATCACTGCTGCATGGAAAGTATGTAGAGAAATTGTAATGATTAATCACCATGGCACCATCTGCACATCCTAGTAAATAACGAGTTTCTTTTTGTTTTTATAGGGACCAGCCCGTGCACTTCTGGCTGATTTATCAGGTGCCATTTTGTCTTTGTTTCTAATGAACTTTATTAATTTGTTCAACTCCTAATGGAACCTGCTACATTCCAACATCTGTATGTTTATAAATTGACAACAGATTCTTAGCACTACATGAACGAGGGTTGTTAATGCGAAATCTAACTAGATGAACTGTTTACTTTGTTTTAGGTCCTGATCAACACAATATATCAAATGCTGTGTTTTGCTCATGGATGGCTGTCGGAAACATTTTAGGATTTTCAGCTGGTGCTAGTGGGAGTTGGAGCAGGTGAAAATTTTCGTGTTTACCTGTGGAAAGTTTTCCAGTTTTCTAGAAAAAAAAATTATAGGAAATAAGAAACTATAGAAAACAGGTTTGCTAAATGAAAATGAAATTTGTTTTCTTGGGAACCTGTGTTTTCTATTTCTCCAGTTTAGAAAACTAAAAAGCATAAAAAAGTTGTTTTCCCAAATTATCATAAAATACTAGGGCTTTGTTTGGTTCACCATCTTTTTTATGTTCATTTCTCTTATTATTTTTAATATAAGCCAAACAAAGGCCTTTGTTTTTTGGAAAATTTCTACTTAATAAAAATCTTAATTTCCATGGAAAATCTTATTACAATTATTAAGAAAACTAGAGATGGAAATCACAAAACTATTTTCTGAAAGTAAACGTGACCTGTTATGCTAATGAATATACATGTGCTCTAAATTTCCTCCTATCCTATTTTTCATTATTATTGTAACTGACCTTTGATATTGTATGACATGAATGCCGCCTTGTCTTATTCAACTCCTTCTGTGTTAAATGTTTATTCTATCATCACTAGCTTATACCACTGGATATTAAGTTGATTGGTGTGTCTAATGCTTCTATTCTACGCAGATGGTTTCCTTTCTTGATGAATAGAGCTTGTTGTGAAGCTTGCGGAAATCTTAAAGCAGCATTTCTCGTAGCAGTAGTGAGTTAATTTATCCTTGCATCTAGGTCAATATTTTGTTGTGCTATTGTTTTGGTACGTGTAAATTGCTTGCGATGTTACATCTGTATTGCCTATTCTTTGTTGTTCTTTTTATGCGTGCACCTCATTATCTTCTACAACATTTTTTCTTTTGTTGATTTGCATGAATTGATTTAATATATGCTTGGTCCTCTAAACGTTGTCCTTTGCAAGTTCACGAGTCAAGTAAAATTTCTGAAACTATTTCAATATTGGACCTTAGCATAAAATATTTCTTAACCCGATCTCTTTAGAAAAACAGTCCTTTTTGTATCATGTTAGCATAGATTTACTCATGAAATCAAGCCAAGCATTTTTCTTTTGGCTAGATCCAATTTCTTCGTAGAAAGGAAAATGATACACATTTTTCTTCTTGGGAAGGAGTGGGTGAACTCTATTGTTTGCAGCTTTCTAGACCTTCAAGAAAGAAATGAGAAAGAAAAGGACTACCAAGGCAATCTCAAGGTTCATGGCATAAATTTTATTAGGGTCAAATGTACACACTTTGTTATTTGGACCATTTAAGTCACTTTGGCAATAGATGTCCAAATTTTAACATTTGTGTCGTGGTTTGCATTAGCAAAAGCCTTAAGACTTTCAGTTGGCAATTTGGCAGGAAAATTATATATGAAATTTCATGGTTGCATCTCTCTCTCGCTCCCCTCTGCACCATCACTAAACCGATGGAATAGATGATCCTAGGAACAAAGCACAATACCGTGGCTTCAAATTTTGAACCTTGTCACTGAAGTGAAAGTGGGATGCACTTTCCTGTCTATGATACTTTGGATTAGCTATATCGGTTCATATATCATATACAGTATGCAAATTAAAATTAAAAT